AGGGGGGGGGGGGAGCGGTACGATTGTTGAGATTTCAACAGAAATACTGTGGTACGTCAACAAAGAAGATTAATTCTCTTCAATGCGGAAATAGAACTCGCACTGGTTGCAAATTAGGCAAAATTTTGTAAAAGTTATTTTTGTTAAGATTCCAACAGAATTACAGTGTAGCAGAGAAGATTAATTCTCCTCCTTGCGGAAATAGAACTCATGCTGTTTGTAAATTAGGCAAACAGTTTAACGGTTGATAAGAGCAGCTGCTGACAGGTATTATAATGTTACTTTAATAAAATCACACAACTCTCGCCGAGCCAAAAGGCAGCACACTATTTGTTCGAGAAAAGGGCTGGGCACACATTCTTAAACCCTGTATTTAAAATACTGTTTTTCAACGCAGTGATAAAGACGCAAAACTGATTGAAGAATTCCCTTCCCCCCAACTAAAAAACAAACAAACAAATACAAATAAAACAAACAAACAACCCAAAGGAAACAAACCCCCCCCCTCCAACCAACCTTTCCATTCTACCAGCAGTTGAATACTAAGTCATTTGGGCCCGCAGCAATACCAACATTTTTTTTCTAAATGAGGAAAACAAAAGCAAAAAAAGCACACAAAAAAACAACACACATAAACAAACAAAAAAAAAAGCAAACCCAAACCCAATCAACAAAACAACATACAAAAACAAAAAAGAAAGTCCCCCCCCCCACCCTAAAAAGCCCAGACTGATTTGTGCATGGTGTGCATGTGTATGCTAAAGTAAATACATTTTGTCTCTGGAATCAGCAGTTGAAGTATTCCGGTGTTTGAAAGACACCACTAGAAGGTCCTACTTCTTTACTTTATATTTGGTTTTAAGTCTGTCTGTCATGCCTTACCGATGTGCTTCTCTTTCCCCCAAAACTCAATAGATAAACATTAATAGATACAAATTTAACATTTGTAGTAATCCCCCTCCCCCATCTTTTTGACCGCTTCCTTTCAAACCTCCACGACGTCCCCCCCCCCCACCTTCACACCCTCGACCACTCCCGGGCAGATACCGAGGCATCACCACCAGTCTGGGCAACCCTGTGTTCAGCAACACGCCGTGTGAGCCGCCAGAGTATGTTCAGCCTCAAGTGACGTACGGGGTGCCGGGGTACAAGAGGCCGAAACAGCATCCTTACTACCAGACCTCCAGGTGCGTATGTAGGTGTGTGTCTGGGTAAAAGATATTCGGAGACGTCTCCGGCGAGCGCCCAGGAACAATTCGGAGGCGTACTCCTGCACATAGATGCACTGCCTTGGGGGTCAAACTGCGCATTGCTTGCCGCAGATCACACGTATAATATAGCCACTAAAACTGACGCAAATCAATTATTGTCAAGAAAATTTCTAACCAAACTGCAAAATATCAAATTACGGGTTAACCCCCCC